GCTTTTGATTACCAACCATTAGTTGTGCAAATGAGCCTGGGAAGTGAAGACATTTCTCGTGATTACGTTTGACACAGGGTATTTAGCATGTTTATCAGGTAGCATCTTGACACATTTTCACCACAACTTGTTGTTCTTGCACTGCATGTAAGACTTAAGTTGAAGTTTAGGCTAGCCATTTGCCTCGGGCTCTATGTGCTCTTAACTATCGAAGTCCTTACGGCCTTGGTTTCATATTCCCTCCTTAAACTAGCTACTTCCATTTATCGTATTCCTTGCACCACTTCTTGTTGAATTTGCATATTTACTGTTTGAGATGTATTTACCTAAATTGAGTTTGAGGTGTAAGGGGACTGGTAGTTGAATTTTCCCACAATGATATGAGTATATCTTACGTTTCCATTGAATTTAATATAGCCTTGCTTTCCTAAAAGGTACTAGCATCCAGGCTGGAGTGGATTTCAGCTTCGATCTCGCCTGGACTGGTCACATTGGCATCCCCAGCAGGACTCTAATCGTAATAGTGCAGAGTATATTCTTGACATCTTAATCGCTACGCGACACTGCCACGAGTGTCTTTTGGTCACAGGGAAGGTGTGCATTTCAAGGAATTCCAGGCATTTTCCCGTATCACATTATCTATTAGGAGTGTCGATTAAGCAAGGTTGTATTCGCTATGGTGATTGATTTCTTTACTTATTTTTCGTTTTATAAGCAGGTTTTCGAGACTTGCAGTAGATCATATAGATATATGAGATATATACACCCTATTTCGTATTGGGAAGGCAAGACCATGCGAAATTCAATGGAAACGTAAGATCTATTCATATCTTTGTCGGAAAATTCAACTAACAGTCCATTTATTACCTTAATTGAAATAAGGGGGATACATCTCATTTATGATTATCTCAAAAACCTACTTATAAACGAAAAATATTTTATGCTTGTTTCTGCTGGGTTACTTTTGCATTCTTATTTGGCCATGCGCTTCTGTTGATCACCGCTCTGAATGAGGCCACTTACACAATAGCGCCTATTTACTTGGTCTTTAGCCCTGCCATGTGCAATTGACTCAACTCTGGACTCCCTATTTAACCGTTACTTTCATACCCTAGCCTACTTCTTGCTTTATGTGGTTATTAAAAATGCTATTGTATACGCGCGCTTATACATGTGTATGCCAATATGCTTATCTGTATAGACGGATTAGGTGGTGACTATAATCGTTTTAAGCTTGCTTGTCATCATCAAGGGCTTTTGCGTTACGGAATGTTTCAACCATTCTTACGTTTAGCGTTTTATACTAGCTTTTGTCTGAAAGTACATAATCATTTACATTCTATCCACTCGCATTGTTCTGGGGCTGATAGCCTCTTCACTTTCAGAAGCTTAAATTCCACGCCTTTTTGTTTGACACGTGGTTTCATTCGGAACTATAGCCGGCCTGTCGATAAAATAGGAGTGCACTGCAATTGGGAATAACCACACTTGCATTGGAGTTGGTTTGATTTAGTTTTTGCAACTTACTCAAAGAGACATTTATACCTTGTGGAGCATACCTAGTCTTGCGTCTTCTGCCATACTATTCAGGATGGCTTCCAGCATCGGACAGTTCATTTTGTGAATGCCAAATTTCCTTAAAATAGGTCATATGATAACCGATCGCGTGCACCCAGCAACAAAGATGGAATTTCTCCTGCAAACAACCCGCATCCGCATCCCTCAAAAACTGGCCTGTCTTTATTCGCCAAATATCCTCATTTTTCAATTACCATCCAACTATGGTTATCGTTGATCTGTACGAGGTAAAAAGACCCACATTTTTGTATGGTGAGTAGTGTGGACTGACCATAGAATCAACATGAAGGATGTTCAAGATCGTTCACGGGCGATGGTACACGAGTTCCTCCTTCCCGAACTGAAGACGGTGGCGATAGACGTTACAAGCCTTCACTTTGTGCATAAAACAAACATATCCTTAACTCGGTTCAATTTGACTCTATGAAATTGCAATCAAGATTGTGGTAGACGAGATTAACAGAAAAGTAAAGTTAAGAGGCACTATTGCCTCCACAAGCCTCACTTATGAGTAAGTATTAACTCATCTAAGCCACTCAATGTGGTTTGTTTTCGCATACATTTAGCACGAATTCAACTGAAATTTGCTCATTTTTTCAGAGCTTCTGTGACCAGCCTGATCGTAGTCCCATGTCCGGAGCTTTGTACTCTTCCTCCGGCCCAATGAAATCTGACTTTCCTACCTCGGGAGGCAATGTCGAATCCTATTTTCTAAGCTCTCCACTAGGCAACATCGGGGCCACTACAGCCTCCGCCAATCACACCTTGGCTGGTTCCCCCAGTGCGCCTCAGTCACTTTCGAATACTGGGCTTTCCATGCCCGGGGGCATTTCACACTCCTCGGCCGCACCTCCGCCCCCTCTGCCTCCTCAGCCTGGCTCTTCCGCTCTCCTTCTCAACCCTTCGCAAACGACTGGTGCCGATCTTGGGCCAAGCCACCATTCCACTCGTCTTCTTTTGGATGAGGCTGCTCGCTATTCCAGCACTGAGCGTCTCCTCGACGACAGACTCACCTCGGCCTCTGCCCTACACAGTGCCCTACGCGCCCAACGAAACGCACTGCGTTTAGGTCAGACACGCTTGCATGGACTTACAAAGCAGTTTCCCGCCGTTCATCGACTCATAAATCGTATAAACTGGCGTAAACGACGCGATACCCTTGTCATCGCCGGTATAATCGTCGT